AAACAAAACAAAGAACCACCTCGTATCAATTAAAACTTCATCAAAAATTTAGTTTAAAAAAAGTGGGGGGCGCGCTGCCCCACGTTACCCTATAGCTAAGGAACTTTGAACATATATTTTATAACCCTTTTACTTTGTCGAGGGAATTGTATGCACGCTCACGGAAAATGGAACTAAAAACTAACTTCAGACTGTTCGTTATTATTGAACGTCGAAAATAACATACAATTGATTGTAATTTTATAATTTATAGCCGTGCCAATAGAGAATAGAGAGTAGCACTCTAGATGTCCATACGCTTGAAAAAATTATTCTTGCATCGGTGCATGCATTGAAGAGGAGGCAAATATATTTCCAAAATACACTCAAGCCATTGTACCCATGGGAATTAGGCACGAAGGAATTTAGATCAAAGAGATTCAGAAACACGGTATAGGATCAATGTGGAAATGAAGGCAAAGAAAAGAGCGGTTTCCATGAAACGCGTATAGTATCATAGTATCAGCCAGAAACCACACGCTCGTCTGCGTTGAGTCAATGTTTTCGTTGCTTATATCAACACAGAAGACAAAGGTGCATCGAGACTTGGATCCGAGAATAATCTAGATCTAGAGTTATATTCCGTGAAATTTTTTTAGACGTCCGCAAATGATGATTTTTAAATTCTTAAATTAATCCTGTGCTTAAATCGCTTTGAAATTGAACTAAACATTTTTACACTTAAAATTTTTAATAAAAATACAAAAATAATTTACCTCACTTCAAATCAATTTTCCCCTGCTGAATTATTCATGAGCATTTAATTCATACAAAACTCAACACAAATAAAAAACCATTAATGGCATTTAAACTTAGTTGTATTTTTTCAGCTAAAAGAATATTTCTCATTAAAAACCGAAACACTTGAATGTTTCAGTGATATTTTTACTTATATTCTTGATAGAATCCTGCAGTGAACATGGAAGGGTTATGAGTAATAACTGTATGCACATATTTGAGTGCAAATTTGCTTCTGACACATGAATTTTGCTTACAATTAAATTTAGATACAACCAAGTAAAGGTTGAAATGACTCGGAATGTAAAGATTTGTCGGAATTGATACATTTCTTTGAGATTGCATTTACAGGCACATTGATACAACAAGCTCAAAAAACGGAAAAGGGGTCGTAAAATGAGCTACAAAAACTATACATATTATAAGCTTCACAATATTTCCGCAGCTGCACGATTTTCGCCTAGGAGAAAATGTAGCGCTTCTTGGAACGTTAGCGTCACGGAATTTTTTCAGCCCTTAGGTGCTCACCTGAAGGGGAAGTGACACGCCGCTCCTTGGAACGTCAGCGTCACGGATTTCAGTCCTGAAAAAAGAAGATTGGGTGTAAAAGCAAGTAATTATGTTTTATGTCACTCAAATCATCAAACGAATTTCAGTTTGCACAAGTCACACAATTAATTAATAATTCACAGTGGATGATATATCACGTAGAAGGGTATGGAAAACCTTAAAATTGCTAATTATAAAAAATTAATCAACTATCGATTAACTTTACTCCATGATGGTTCGTTGAATAGGGACTTAATAGTCATAAATCTGCAGTTATGAAAGCAAAAACAAAGCAGCCGAGTCAGCGGTGAATTTCAAGGCTATTTACTTTTATAGTATCCTGAGGGCACGTAACACCATAACACCAGCATGCAAGAAGATCTAGCACGAACGCTGCAACCAACTCCTCAATCTTCACAAGTTTTGGCATATTTCATATTTTATTGTTCGCCAATCTTAATGCCAAACTTCAGCTTGCCATTTGATTGGAGATTTTTTCGAGGATTCATGATACATTTACAGGAGAGCTCTTTGATAAATAATAATAATAATATCATATGATATTTGAATTCGAATATTTGAATTTAATGAATAATTTATATTACTTTAATAATATACATTTTTGTTGTTGTGGCTCCGTGGTTTTTCGGAATCTACGTTCACGATGGATAACTCTTCGTAACATGGAAGTAACATTTATGCCAGACCACTCACTGTGTCATGGGACTGACGGTGACGACAAACTACTCACCGTAGGAGAGGTCACAAAAGTCCCATCGAGTGGCTGTACCGTCGTCGCTGACTTCGGTTGCACACCAAGCGGCCTGGCGACCAGCATAGTGTCATCTGTGTTTTGCCTTCAGCATATAGTGTCATCTGAGTTTTGCCTTCAGCATATAGTGTCATCTGTGTTTTGCCTTCAGCATATAGTGTCATCTGCGTGTTGCCTTCAGCATATTGCGTCCTAAGCTTATTGTTCCTTCAGCATATCGTTTCTTTATAAAGTTACGTGTATCTGCAGTTCCGTGTGCCTATTATTCGTAGTTATCTGTTCATGTTATAAACTGTTAATTAGTTAGCTGTTCCGTTAGTCATTATTGTTGTAGTTGTCTCTGGTTAATAGATACTTGTTTATCCGGCTTTCATTTCTCCTTTGAGGTTCGGCGGTAGTCGTGGGCGGAAATTGATCGAATCTAATTCGAGTCGTCCTGATTGAAACTTTACACTCGCCCATAGAGGTAATTTCAAAGTAATATACATTATTAGGCCTCGCTGTTCAAGTAAACATTGTTATTTCTAAGGATGCATATCAGATGAATTTAAAATAAACATTTTGCGTAAGCTAGCACGATAACGATTAAAACAGCGGAAATGAATTCAACCTGAATATAAGTACAAAATGTGCCGTGAAACAGATTGGATGCAAGCATAACTGAAAATTCTTTGAAAGTATGTGTTCAATCAGAATATCTACCGGAAGCAAACAAGCGTTAAAGCCCGCCGAATTTCCGGTAGCATTGATTCTCGATGGCGGATTTGTAGCGCGGTAGGAAGGCCATTTGTTATCCGAATCAGCCGGATCATGAAAAACGCGAAGTCATCGTAATGCGGCTCGCCGATAACAGTCTCGTCTAAACCAAAGATGCCGGCGATTGGGCCAGTTAATGGTGCACAAATGTCCCATAAAAAGGACTTAAGCGATCCAGGAGCCTAGGATGCCATACGTATAACTGAAACTGGCAGCTACGGTCAGTAGGTGCGAATGAGAACACGGATGTAGTATCTTGCGGCATTTACAGAAAACAGGAACGCGAGTATAGAATATGAGAAGTATATTCATAAATTTTTTCGTTTTATGAAAATTTTGGTGGGAAAAGGGATCTTGAATAATTAACAATCGAGTACAAAGACCACGCAGATAATTAGGATTTTTGCGAAATAAATAATATGTCTATAATAGCTTGCCGGAAGATTATATACGCAGCTAAATTAATTATCTGTAGTGATATCGAAACAACCTTCCATGATCTCAGCCGGAAACATTCCAACACTTTTTTTGAGATCACAAACTACTCTGAATCAACGAATCATTCCTTGAATGAATAATTCATTCCTTATACAATCATAATATAGAAGCCATTGAATGAATTTAGTCATTGGATGAATTAGTCATTGAATTAATTAGTCAAAGAATGAATTATTAATTGAAATTATTATTGAATAAATTATTCATTGAATGGATTCTTCATTGAATGAATTATTCATTAAATGCATCATTCTTCAGTGACTTTAATTAAAAAAATCACTCATTACATAGTTTCATACTTATTAATAAGCCCGTAATTTCCTGTACAGTCATGCAGGACAAATCAGAATGGCATAAAAAAACATTTCTCCTTTTAACCGCATTTTGTAATTTTTCTGATTTTCTTACTTATGATTTTTTTCACAATCGTTGCGAACGAAATAAGCGTCACAATGTTTTTATTAAATATGTTGAGTTGGCTCTGCCTACACTGTAAATGAATTCCATTCAAAACTGTGGTACTTATCTATCTTGCATACAATAGTTTGTCAAAAGGAAAAATAGAAAAACAAATTCGTTTTAGGAAAATCTATTTTTTGGTGATATTCATATGCATTACGATTTTTGAAAAAATAATTTCATTTTTAATATTATTGTTTTGTGTACGCATACTGGGCAAAAGTCAATGAAGCGAGTTTGAAAGAATTAGTCACAACTAAAATCCATCAGCCAAGTTTAGTAAATGAAGCGATGAAATGATGGGAGTGAAGTCTTTATACTTTGTCGGGATCATGCACGACTTCGACATGTGAAGTCATGTAAAGTATAGAATCATCATGAAAATGTTTTAAATCATCTATTTTTATATCAAAAACGCTCTCCGATACAAAAAGCCAATAATACTACACCAATTTTTCATGTAGATGACAAACTTCTCTAGATGAATGAATAATTGAACAAAACCAGTACATGATTGCTTTCTCCATTACTTCCTTAACAAACGATGACTCACCTACATCCCCAGCACAAGTTGAAGACTCACCTACAACCCCAGCGCAAGTCTCCCACTGCAGGGGCCTCCTGAAGACGTCGACGGTGGTGGCGCACCATGGGCCCGCCCCTCCAGCTGGAGGACGCGACAGTGTCTCATTGTCTGCTGAGAAAACATTGTAGAAGTGTGAAGCCGTCGGAATAATTTAAACTGCACTCTTACATGTTAACTACAACAATGTTAGACATGATATGAGTCATTTTCAACTGCGGATCAAACGAGGTGTGAAATATGCCGGCTTGCTAAAGTAAATAGAGTTCGTCATCTATCAAATGGAATAAAAATATTGTTTAAGTTTTTTACCGCACGAGGCTAAACCACTTTTCAGAATAATTGTGTTGTGAAAGTCGTTTAAAAATAAAATATTTATTTCGGTCTTAATTCGAATTATTTTCACCTGAACAAATCAGAGTAAATCACGTTATTAAAGAAAGCAACCTTCATCTAATGTATGCGATACAGGTTGCGATCGAGTACAAATGACGCAGAGATGACACAGAATGTCATGTTCAAATGACAAAAATTACATGGAATGTCGTTTTCAGATGTTACAGAAATGACATGAAAGGTTGTTTCCAGATGTTACAGAAATTACATGAAATGTTATTTCTAAATGTTACAGAAATGACATGGAATGTCGTTTCCAAATGTTACAGAAATGACATGATATGTCGTTTCCAAATGTTACAGAAATGACATGAAATGTTATTTCTAAATGTTACAGAAATGACATGACATGTCGTTTCCAAATAATACAGAAATGACATGGAATGTCGTGTCCAAATGATACAGAAATGCATGCTGCGTTTCCCTCACCGGTCAACAAACCGTCATCAATGTGCAGGAGTGCTTGACTGTCTTCGGTCTCGGGAGCAGCATCAGGACCGTAGACCAGCTCTCCGATGCAGTTGTGGTGGAGGCGGCCACGGTAGTAGAATGGGAACACGCAGCGGGTGCCTCCGATACTCAGTGAATACCCTTCATGGGGTGAATTGAAAAAAAATGATTTCTAATAGTAAGCAAATAATTATGGAAGAAAACATAAAGCACCAATGATACATAATTATTAGTCTGCTTACATCACATGTTCGCCATAAATTTAAAAGCGAAAAAGAGGCCAAACATATGCACTATTAAATCTAGAATAATATATATAATAATGCACTATAATATAATAACTTAAAAAATAAATAATTAAACAAATATAATAATAATATAATAATGCAATAATATATAATATACTAAATCAAGAAATAGGAATCTAGGCGATCATGGAATGAAATTTTTATTAGAATCAATGTCGTAAATGATACATTACTGCAAGGGTTTGAATTACTGTACTCGAATTTAATAATCATCACTAGCAATATATAAATCTGGGCATCGTTGATATGTTTATTCTTTTTATAGAAGAAGCATTTGTAAGTATCATCTTAATTATTTGCTAGTAGTATCTTGGGCTTGGAGTTGTGAAGCCATACCTCACCCCAAACAAACAGAGTTCTGCATGTGAATTGTAAAAAATATCAAAACCTCTAGTTCTCGAAGTCGTTATTTAACAAACCTAATTGTTCTGCTCATCCTGTCTTACGAAAATTCCTTTGTGCCCAAGCAGAAAAATAAACGAGTATTTTGCCTGTTGAATTAAGATGTTCTTAAGTATAATAAATGCAAGCAAGAAAAGATCTGATTGCCAGCCAAACAATCCGGTCGGCACAGCGCGTGCAATCTAAGCGTTTTCTCAGAGCACAACAAACCCTTTAATCGTCCAGCTTCCGAACACTTTGGCCATTCAAAAACAACAGCCGCAAAACTTGAAAGAAAAAATTCATGGCATTCATATCCAATAAATAAATAGTAATTGCGACATAACCAATTTAAACAAACTTACGACCTATTCACTCTTTCTAGACGGAAGTTAAATTTTCTAAGTGGTATTCCCATTCAAACTCAAGTTTTGTACCGAGGATTTCGCTCAAGCTGGTCAATTCCATGAGAAGCAAAGAAACTGTCCCTAGTTAGTCGAAACAAAGAGCTTTTTAAACTTCGTTTCGGAAGCATAATTTCGAAACCAACAGAGAAAGGTAAAATTTAGAAGCTTGAATCTTTATCATTGCAGTAAAATGGGATGCCGGCGCACACCTCCGTAGAGTTATTGCATCCATTACGGCCGGCGCCTTCTGTTCCACCGATATTAAAAAGGATGGCTGGAACAAACCACGCAAGTGGGGGCCCCTACATTGGATAAATTATCTATCCTAAGTTTAGCAATTTTCTTGGGCACTGTTATTGTGCGTGATCGATGGAAAGATTCTCTGGTCAGTCAAGAGCAAGCACAGTAAATTGCAAGCGAAAAATTATTGACGCGTTGCGACGTGAAAACAATGGCCATTATATTCTCATAAATAAAGAATATCGATCTTCGTGCATGCTCTTGATTTGTCTCCGAAAGTTTCGACATAATACTTGTTGGATAATTACCCCTTCTTAATTACTTGACTTGACTATAATGGAAATAAGTAGTATTTTTTTGGAAAATAGAATTAATACTTTGAAGGATTTTGAATGTATGCCACACATTGTGAGCACTACTACCAACATAGTCACCGTACATGTGCTCTGTGCATCATATTTTAAATGCTCAAAACATTCCGGCCTACATTACATCTATTTAGCCCAGTCCTGGATTGAATTCGAGGCCATCGTAAATTTTCTCAATGAGAAATCGAAGATTTTTCTATGCTGCCCGTGTGTTTTCCGCTACTTGGCTACGTTGAGAAGATTTAATAGGCTTTAATTCAGTCAATGACAGGCCCACTTGTAGCCCACCTACCGCCCACTCTCAGGGTACTTACGCTTGCTGCAGGTGGGTCCGGTGAAGCCCTCTGGACAGACACATGTCCCGGGGCCTGCACACCTACCGCCGTTCAGGCAGGGTGGGTAGCAAACATTTATCATGGGTATACACAATGCACATGTAGTAGTGTCTGATCTTATGGCCGACGGAACTCATATCGTGATTTATTCTTTAATGAACTACAAACTTGTGGCTTGCAACTCAGATAGTCATAATTTAATTATGGATAAAGAATGTGACATCTCCTATATATGGCAGTCGAAATTTATTCATAAAAAGTCATGAAGCTCATGGCTGTAGTTGCCTAGTATCAGTATTGAAATGCCCCAACTGACATACTGCGAGCATGTGAATAGTCCAATAGCGACAAGCAGCTGCCGACTCTGGAAATATCATACCTGGCATAACAACCTATAGTCGGAAGTTGATCCTTTTCAACGTTTATAGCAAATAAAAAAATTCGGAAAACTATGTCAATTCAAATTCTTAGTTTCTGGAATTTTATCCTTATTTATTTTGCTGTGTAAGCATTCTAATTGTTTCAGAGGGAATTTAGCGCGGTGGGCTATCGTTCAAGCCATGACCAGTATATCGAGGTGGTTTGGTGTTGAAACTCTTTACATTTGTTGACACTGATCGAATTATTTCTGAAATAATTCTAGCCCTGTTTTAATTATCAACTAGAATCAAGAAAATCTTTTAAAAAAAGAATGTTTCGGAAACGTTGCAATTTAGGTTAGCGAGAAAAAATTTCGCTTAATAATGAAATCTATAGGCTTCAAAGAAATTTTTGAAGAAATTCAAAACCCTTGTTTCAATTCAAGAATTTTTACTGACTTGCCAACAAATAAATTTGTAGATAAATACTTAAGACGCTAAAAATTTCCTCTCTAAAATGTTCATGACTTTCAACCGAGGAAGTGCAATGCCCGACGACGCCTTGCAAGCAAAGTGTAAGCTTGACTTGTCGGCCTTAAAAAATTATCATTTACGCAACTTTCCCGATTTGTCTAAAGCTATTTAACACTGTTTTTAGTGCCGCTAGTCTTTTTAAAATAATTATTTGGTCTTTCTTTTGTATTTTTCGTTTCCTACATATAATTAACTAAGCACTAATAAGTGATACAGAGATAGTCTGATAATTTCGAATTTTACTACATTTATCATGGGTATACACAATGCACATGTAGTAGAGTCTGATCTTATTGCCGACGGAACGAGAACAAGTTCTTTCGCTTAATAATGAAATCTATAGGCTTCAAAGATTTTTTTGAAGAAATTCAAAACCCTTGTTTCAATTCAAGAATTTTTACTGACTTGCCAACGTGCCGCTGAAAATCTAGTATATTTTTGGACGCAACCAATATAAATAACTTTTAACTGGACAGTAATCGCGTTAGGGAGCGGAGCTGCAATCGAGTACGGTTTTGTAGCTCAATCAATAATCCTATAAAATAAATATTGAACAATGGCTTTTACTAGCCAATAACAATTCTCGCGCGCATGTTCATCCGGATATAAAAAATTGCAGCCACTATAGGTTCTGAAACTTGATGCAAATATTTTTTTTCTGCAACGGCAGCTATGTTTCAGAATAAATGAATACGGGAAAATATTTCAATGCAAGAAAAATACAGGATTGTACATCAAATATATGTAATTTTTTGACAAAAATTAAGATCTATGATTCAACTCTTTGTCAAAATAATTTTTCGTGAAAAACTGTTAGATTTGATAATTTTTCAAAATTCAACCTTGAAAAGTAAATCGGGAGCAACATAAATGAAAATCCCTATGTTGCTGCTTGGTCATTTATACTCACATTGTCTAAATTTCTAAATTGTAGCAAATTTTATTTTGAGATCAGGACTCACTGTATTTTCCCCTGAAGAACTCATCCAGTTGCCATCCTGACAGAGCAGGATAACTGAAATGTTTCCTGATGGCAGTCGATATCCTTCCTTGCACTGAACCTCCAAAACTCCAGATGCAGATCTTAAGATTTGAGATACGATGTGTGTATATTTATTCATATTATTAAAATTCAGCGTAATTTAGCTGACGTAAAATAACGATAAATCTCATCATGACCGAAAGTGCCTTGGTATAGTATTGTTCAATTTATAATCGATCTCCAAAATGTAAGGGATCAAAAGATCAAATAACTCTACTCTCACTATCATTCCCCCTTGCTGCAGGCACCGAATGAATATTAGTGTGGTTGACCACAACTAATATTCATTAGTTGAATATTAGTTCAAACTAACAAACACTGTTAGTTATGGGCATGACTCCTGTAAAATATAATCAATCTTTACTAAAACATGTTTGTTAATCTCCACTCACTCATAATTGAAAATGGAGTTATTTCTCAAAGAATCTGGTGGCACGCAGATCTTGACCGAGCATCGCGGTCCGGCGAAGGCGCCCGTGCATTTGCACTGCCCTGGAGACACGCAGGTTCCTCCGTTCCTACAGCCGCCGCTGCACACTGGGCTGCACTGCAGCTCCTTTGCCGTGAACGTGCGGCCCATGACCGTTGACATCCACTCGCTATCGTTGCAGCTGTTATGAAAGTGAAAATCAAATAAATATTTAATCTATTAAATGAAAACCAGCGATTTTTTAAACAAAGTTTTACATAGTTGGCCCTATGTGGAAAAAAGAGTTCCCTCAAGACACCTATGGAAATAAAATGATTTGAGTTGAATTCGTACAAGATGTCAAGGCATGACAGACAGGCTTGACGCTTCGACTAAACAAAGCGGCAATCGAATGATTACTGATAAAGATTTCACAAATCTCAAAAATTCATGAAATATATTACAGCTATGTACATCCAAACATTAATAGAACTGATAGTAATAATAAAAACAGTACAATGTTTTGTGTTGTTAAGGCCCGCATTTCTCACGTGAGTACAGCGCTGGTGATGCCACCGTGGAGGCTGTAGCCCGCATGACATGAGATGCTCATGATGTCGCTGCCATCTCTGCCAACACGTCACGGGAACAAGGTGTGAGAAATGAAGGTTTACTTATGAACTGCCTTTTTTGCGCATTTTCTCATTTATGAAACAAATGAACTATTGTGCTCGCCATGACCGTCTGTCCGTCCGTCTGTCTGTCTGTCCGTCTGTCTGTCCGTCTGTCTGTCCGTCCGTGACTTCATGTTTTCGTCGATGAGAAAATGCGCTCTCTGTCACTCACTGCAGTGAGTAATGAGTTATATTTTTTATTCTTTTGCAATCTTTGGTATGAGTTTTGGAGGTAACAGTCCCAGGCAGCGCTTGAAGCTCCGTCTCAGTATTTACTCGCCTATCTTACAGCATCACATCAGCACCACAACACATCAGCACCACAACACATCAGCACCACAACACATCAGCAGCACAACACATCAGCACCACAACACATCAGCACCACAACACATCAGCACCACAACACATCAGCACCNGCGGCACGTGTTGGGCGCCACGCACTCGCCGCCGTTCACGCACGCGGGCACGCATGTGGGCACGCACGTTTCCTCTGCTGCATGCGCATGCGATGGAAATTTGTCATTATGTTTCGCTAAAAAAATTGTTGCAGTTTTATTTCTCATGTTACGAGATAAAGAAAAACAAATGAATTGAATAATAGATAGCGATTGAAAGGCACAAATGTGGTATACGTAACCAATTTAAGAATTGATATAATAAATTACACGACTAAGGAAAAATAAATTTCGATTGTAGAAAATATTGCATAAAACTAGGATCTTTGCTTTACATTTTGCAGCGTAAAATCATCTTGTCATTGTCTACTGCTGCGATCAAGCAGTCTCTTTTGTGCGCATGCATAAATTAATGCTAATAACACTGAAATAAATAATTAACATTTGCTGGTATTTTGAACATTTCAAGCTTGGTTAGGAGTAGAAAAATATTTATTTATACATCAAGTGTCACAGCACGTAATCACCTTCAATTTTCAAGAGCGGTTAAACTTTATTTTTCTATTCTTAGTCGCTATTATTGTGTGGCCATTGTGTCTATTGACTCACAAGAGGAATCATTTGCTGTTCATAGTCGCTTTTACTGCGAGGCTGTTATGTCTATTGAGGACTCATTTGCTGCTCATAGTTACTATTACTGTGAAGCTTTACTGTTTATTAACTCACAAGGAGCCGCTGATTCCGAGGTAGGTTGCCAGACTCGTGCCCTGCACGTGAGCTCTACAAGCCGGGCCCCGGATCGCATCTCGTATCCCTCCTCGCACATCAGGCTGCCCTTGTTCGCGCTTACGACGCATTTTTTGGTAGAAATTATTGTCAAGAAATTATTATTCACTCTGTTTATTTCTATAAAAAAATCAATTAAAAATAATGATAACATACTAAAAAAAACATGACAATGATGGAATTACTAACTTGCGCAGAGAATTAACAAACAAATCTAGGGTTTTAGTGTTATTTTGATGACATTTACGAGTTGATGGAATGAGGTACCTTCAGTATATGAAGTAGCGGATGTACCAGTCGGTCTTATATAGACTTAACTTTTTAGAATCGTCGTGATCTTGTTATTCAAGAAATATAGAATATGTTGACTAGATTCAAAGATGTCATGCTGAAGCTTTTATTCATAAAACAAAATTCCTCAATGTAGACTATATATTTTGGTGGAAACTCACCTGAACATAATTGAAGCGTTACCAATGACCGGAGGAGGGGACCAGCACAGTTCAGGATCGAGCGTCTCACAGCGGGGCCCTACAAAAGGCGCGGGACACTCGCACACCTGCGGCCTAACGCAAAGCCCGCGGTTGAGGCACTGAGGCTTGCACACGGGCTTGCAGGGCGAGAACCTCCACGAGGAGAGCTTGCCCACCCCCAAACTGGACAATGCGGGGGAGCCAATTTTGGGTAAATTATTATTGCGTGATGCAGGTGATTATTGAGAAAAAATATCATATATTGCTGTTATAAATTGAATAAATGACAAGAAAATAGGTATGATAATGATATCGCTTTGATTTTTTGCATAGTGATTTAACTGTGGGAAGAAGAATATGATACATTGTTTTGAGTGTAATGAAATACTGCTAGTAGAACGGCGGAAAAGTGACTTCTGCTCGTTACTTTAACATTGGTCAAATATTTTTATACGGAATTAACAGAATGGCCAATATTTTCGAATGTAGAGGCATAGTGTTTGCCCAGTGCACGGAACCTAAAACTTTCGTCAAAGCGGCCACATATAGCATGAGTATACCTAAATCTTATACGCGCTACACGTAGACTGCATAAAAAACACATTTACATAATTTAACAATAATTCTTTAAACGTGTGAAATAGATGGATGCTTGTATAATTAATTTGGGTATTTTTAATCCTCTGTATTAAAAATAATAGAAAAAATCATATAAAACACGAATTTGTTCTGAAAACGCCAGCAGCTTTTAGTGTAACGTAACATAAAGATAGTGAGATGCTTCGAGATCAAAAACCTCTAAGGAATAAAATTTTCAGCAAATTTCTCAGTTGACTTGAAGCGTAGAAGTTATCACTCCAACTGAATCAAATGCATCAGAAACTTTTGAAATGTAGCGGCCATTTCGTGTTTGATTTTGCTAGTGCCAGTGGAGGTTCGGAAGATTCATTCAGTAGTCGGCGACGCTCCAGGCGGCTGGAGAGCTCATATAGAGTCCAGTGCGCATTATTTATTCAAGGCATATCCAGTCCATTACATCTGGAAATCTGAAAGATTTTCAGCTGCTCCTCGATGCGCTCTTGCGTAGAGTACCCGAGGGAAGACCCACTCTCCTCCTTGACACCACATCAGCGCCTCCTGCAGTCCCCCCTCCAACTCGTAGCCCTCCGAGCACCGCAGTCTACGTCCTGATGCCCTGGGGTATTGAGTATAGATAAATTAACTTATATTCGCTTCTCAATAATATATTAGGAAATGAAAACTTTAAGAACAAAAAAGTATCACCATAGGTTAGGAAATAAAATTTTCTGAAGAAAAAGTATCACCTTAAATTTATAATTAAAATTTAACTAGAAAGTATGCCTAGTTGCAATGAAAATTGTTTATATTACCGGTTTTCTAGAAAATAATATTTTAGTATTAATTTCAATTTACTTATTGAGTAGGTATATGGAAAGCATTCATTTACTTCTATTTAATGCCCATTAATACCGAGTCTCCTGAATACATCATAATTTTCTTCAAAACTTTCTACATATGCTCGACAACATATGAATGCTTCGTTGATTACTTAAGCCAATGCTTTTTTACGTGTAAATGGGCAGTAAAAAATAACGCAAAGGGCTGAAAGTAGGGAACTATAGCCTAAATATAGTAAGCTTTCTGGTATTCAGTTTTTATTACACTGTTTCATGAAGTAATGGCCGAGGGAATGGAGCTCTCAGTAAGAAGAAAATTTCTAGATTCATTGAATGCTCAAGTTTGTGTGAAATAAATAGTAAAATTCATGTATCTAAACTTTTACAGCTGATGCTAACGACATCTGATGTCAGGCTCAGCTTAGCACAGAATGATGGCTGAAATTCACATCAGGATAGACTCCCGGTCTCCAGCTATAATTAGCTTGCTTCAAATAAACGCTGCTAAACTAACACAACTAACACGCTCATCAAGCCCGTCCAACTCATTTCAAAGTGACAAGCGTGCTTTGAATATTTTATAGAATCATTTATTCTGACTATGATTGCAAGGTCATCATTACTTTTACCAAAAGATTTAATTCCAATGTACACAAATTTTAGAGAAAGTTCCCACTTACGAGACATGAATATAGCCATTTGGGACAGGATCAGGGTCAGAGGGACACTCCGGCTGCTTTGGGACCTGGCAGTTTAGGCCCCGGAAGTTTTTGGGACATCGGCAGACGTTGGGACCGACACAAGCCCCACCGTTTAAGCACGGAAGTTGACAGACTGGATCGCAGCTGGGCAGCTTCTAGTGCCAGAAGCAACCATAAATATTTCAATATTAAAAAAATTTCACTTCCATAAATGTCCTAATATCACATCCATTATATCCTAATATACCTTGGTTTCCGATAAACGAGCAATTTAAAAATCAGTTTATATAATTACATTCAAAATATAATATAAATAAACAATATATTGTTATTTCTAAAAACAGTAGCCTTTATATAGGCAGAAATTAGACCTCGGTGTAGATGCCTCCATGCAAGTTTGTAGGCGTCCAGACGTCGTTGTGGCAGCGGAGGTGGTAGTGAGAGAGCCCTGTGTGCAGCTCGTAGCCTGCGTGGCATTCCACCACCGCAACCGAACCACTGGTTATCATCAGAATTGTGTAAATCAACAAAACTTTTCCTTTTTAAATGGAGAATAATTATTGTAGGGTTGCTATCTTATGCAAGAATAATAATATTACCTTGCGAGCGGCACAAAAATTATTCAAAATATCTGATGATAAATTTCGTGTAGAATACGTACCTATTCAATATGAGTGCTGATACAGTCAGAATCAGATAATTTTGCGTTTCTATCTATAGTTTTAGTGATTTCAAACATTCATGGACAAAGTGTTGCTTAACGTGTGAGTTGATATAAGAGCCTTTTTCTAACTAAAGTTTTTCATTTATGTTTAAATCTTGAGTACTGTACCTGAAAACAAACACAGATCAATTATAAAGATTGAGTTTACAAATGTTTTCATCCGCCATGAATAGTTTTATTTAAATTTCGTCTAATCACACAATGAAGATATAAACCACAACTCACTTGTAGTAAATATCAGCGTTGACAACAACAGCAGGCGACGTGGAGCACTGGGAGACGGCGGCGTCACAGGCGCTGGCGCAGAGCGGGCCCGTGAAGCTCGGCGGGCAGCGGCACTGGCCTGGCGCGATGCACTCGCCGCCGTTGAGACACGCAGGCTCGCACACAGGCAGGCATGTCGGCAGAGACGCGATCGCGCTAGCCTGCGTCTGTCAAATTCGTGTCAGAAAATCTTAATGTAGCTGGAAAGCGTGCAGCAATTAATAATTTCTAACGTCGAGCAGGCATGACTTGGAAATATTAACTTGGTCTAGGAGGCGAAACAATTTTTGGCTAATGAAACGAAGATAAAAAAAGTAATGATGTTATGTAGAAACGGATTGAAATAACTAGTAAACTTTATAAAAGTCACGTATCCGCATAACATGACCTAGCCCCACACAAAAAAAAAATATTTTGTACAAGACATATAATAAAAGGCCTTGGGACTATCTAGGCGGCAGGGGAAGTCAGGTTGCAAGTTCGAGTTCGCGACTCCTGATGAAGAGGTTGGTGTTGAACTTGAAACCGGTAGGCCAATAGTAACTTGATAAATTCTTGGGAATAACATTGATGAAATGCTGTAAAAAAACACAAATCCCTCCCACTTTTTAAGCAAGGAACGCATCGTCATTTTAAAACAATTTACTTTAATGGCTAATATAAACACTGGACGACTTTTAACACGTTGACTCTGAAGTGGTACATATGCGTACCACGAAATGTATTTCTCCTGGACGTAGTGGTACATAATTCAAGGTTGCCAAATGGCCTTGAATACGGCTAAGTCCACGAACAAAAACTGCCAATAAAGGCCTATAACTCGATGTATACTAGTATATTTGTAGGTTCCGGTGTAAAGATTCCATTTATTTTTTCAATTTAATTGGGAATTAAGTACTTCTATCATAAGTTTTAGCCAGCCAACGCAATTGAAAAAACAAAATAGCGGAATTTGTCCGAAAAAACCGTCTTGCAACCATGTTTCAAAATAGTACTAACAATGAAATAATAGCACAAGATGAAGAAATCGGAGTCAACGTATTAATAAACGATGTACCAAATAAAATACATAGCTAGACGGAAATAAATATGTTTAACGAACGGCACCAGAGTTCATATTACACAAGTACAGAAACGGTATTAATCTGTACAGAAAATGTTCAAGATTTATACAACTGAACCGGCAATAGTATAGATGTTTACTATCATCGATTGCTACTTGAAACTGCATAAAATTTCCTCACCACAGCCACCACAAGTTAATGTTGACATACAATTTATGAATTTATGAGAAATATTAAATAGTATCGGCGACCGGTACACGACAAGTTGACGCAGGCCTTCCGGATAGGTAAGACACTGTGCTTTATAAAAGTTCCCAGAGCGGTATTCGGAGACCAAACATAATATGTATAAAACATCCTACTTTTGAAGTAACAGCAAATCTAAAATTTTCCAATTAAAATAACGGGGCTCGCACCCCAGCAGACACATCAGCAGAGACGCGACCACACGAGCCTTTACATGTAAAATTCATGCCCATAAATTTTAATTTAAAATCCTAACTCGTGCCACCAATTCTATTTTATTTAATTGAGGCACAGAGTCTCGATAACGGCAGACACATTGAAAAAAACGCTACTGCACTTGGTCTAGTAAAGTAGTGTGAGAAAACGTATTGTGATGTTATTGTTTTTGTATATGACTTTATTTGATCTTTTGGGGCCTAATTTATTGATTAATTGATTAAAACCTAATTACAGTAATTGATTCACCCTCTAGTTAATTTAACGGTCAGTCTATTTCGTGCCTGAAAATTGATTTTTTAGTACAGATTCAGTATGCATCCTGTTGTTAATTTTGTGGTCTGCGTTATTCGTGTAAGAAGAAATGTAATATTTTAATTGGTATGTGATATGCATATACCCTGCGAAAAAATTACAACAAAATACCACGCTTGAAAGTTTCTCAAACTGTTATGCCACAAAACTAGTAGGTCGGGGAGAAAATAGGAATTAGGCCTGAAAAAGAAAGAATGAACTCAACGTTTCCTTTTCACACACAAGAAAAGAAAAAAACAGATAAAAATTATAATTGTTGATAAAATATTGCCATACAATCATTTCAGCAGCGCACGTTCAGCAGCCAATCGTTAATTATTTAATTTTCTGTTCAGAGAGCAAAAAAGCGAGGAAAAATATTTTTTTCAGTACTATTCACACAAAACCAAATGAACAACTGTACTATATGCGCGCGCTCAGCCACCAATCGTTTATTTCGAAGTAGCAAGCAATCGTGTTTTAAACTAACCCACCCAATTATGGAAGTGAAGCCCGGGCTTACAACATGCATATAATTTATAAACATTCCTACTGGGGGCTCGGTTTACTCGCTGTATTAATTAAAATGAAGCTCTTCTAATGAATTAGAAGCTGAAGCGCTGCCGCTCTTCCTGATGAGCGGATGTCAAAAGGGGGATGAGAGAGAGTCTCTCTATAATTTATGTCCGAGTGTTCATCCTTCAATGTGCATGCAAATAAATCTGGTTGTTCATTTGTAACAATATTTCAGCTGACACTATGACGGGTATATCTTCATACGGGCAAATGGCGAAATTATATTTTCAGATCTACGAGCGGTATCTAACCAGGGTATTGACTGAAAATGATTGGAAATTCATAGAATATAGCCATCCTTGGTGACACCGGTTTGTTCTGAAGCGGGAATATTCAGAAAAAATATTTGTTTGATTAAATAGTTGATTTGTATAACTAATGTGACTGAGAAACATACGTATATGATCTAAGATTTTAAATACTGCTTTTAATAGATACTGATAAGCAAATCATATTGCTAAATCGCATCATTAAACAATATGGCATTCCAATGAGCATGTATTCTATCCAGTACTAATTTTCAGATAGCAATTGTTTTCAACGATATAAATATTCCTGATTATGGAAATACTTAGGTGTACGCAATTTATACTCCAGAAATGTATATCAGTTCAAAATGGAGTTGTTCATCACTAGTCAATCCCTTTTAAAGCCTATATACAGGTTGCTAGCTATGATTGCGCTGAAATCCAGGCAGTCTTGTCTGTAGTAAGTTCTTCAAACCTGCGTGAAGGAAGAATGTGATTGTTTTATTCACAATTCGCATTTATTTTTATTCCATGTTCGATTTTCCACTAACATTTTACGATAAAGATGTACACCAGGGCCTATACATTCAAAAACAGTTAAGAGATCGTAAGTTCATCAGCCAATCATTGACGGCCTTTCAAGCAAAATCCACCAATCATAGACAAGAAAATAGAGCGTAAGGACTTACGTTCACTTATAGCGAGTTTTGAAGGTATGGCCCCAGAGGTGTTCAATGGACGTTTGCTACCAATTTTCCAAAGAACACGATTGACTGTTCTCACGCTTAATTTCGTTTGATGGAACAAAAAGCATCAATAGTTTGCGTATAACGTACAATATGATTCGTGAGTTTAGTCTATTATTTTATTGACTTCTCAGAAAAGTAGAGAAATATCTAAATGCTGTTACAGATTTAACGCAAATAGAAAACCTTTTATAAAATTAATGCATTGAAAGTCGATGACAGCTTGACTTTTGCTTAAAACAAATTCTTCGCTTGTATGTTTACCCCGCTTACCATCGCCCGCTTTCGTGATTGTGGAGTAAGTTATTGACTGAATTAATTGAAAGAAATTTTATTTAGGACTTCGTCATTGTTTATTTAATATAAATAAATTCAGCGTTTGATCATCATGGCGTGTGAGTAATAGGCGCGAGTCAGTCACGCAGGCGGGATGTTCTGTGGCGCTGACGTTTAGAATGGAATAGTTCCGTTGCCGGCCTTGAAACATCATAAAATAATTATTTTTAAAATCTAATTGATTTTATAAAATACTGTACAAAAAGCCGTGTGACTTGGAATTTAAAGTACGGAGCAATAGTACGACAATATTTGATTTTGCTAAAATTTTTGTGTAATCTTGAAATTATCTGAAGGTTAATGGCCATTGAATTTTTATTGCCAGCACAATGCCAGTCATGAAATGAGTTCGAAAAAATCAAAGGTAAAGTCTCGATTCCTGACCTCTCGCATGGCCTGTGGAGTTTGTCTTCACTCTCGGATCAAATTGAAAAATCTGCTGCTGTATTTTCAAGTGATTTATCTTGGGGCTGGAAAATCTCGGAGCAAAATCCTTGACAAAGGAAAGACATCGTTTGTAAAGCTCGTCAGTTTCAGGGGAATATGGTCGTGCAGTGTTTGATGGAGTGGTTGAATAGCCTACTTACTACCGTGTATAATATCTCGTCAATGATCGAGCGACCGAGCGAACTCATAAAGCTTTCTCATCGAGAGCCTCCAGCCTTTCTGTAGGAGTGCCTCGGCGATACTTTTTCCCATCACATATCATTGGGGACCTTCGCTTGTATTTATTGCCGATGTTCGACTTGGTTGTGGAATGTTTACTTGAAATACGAGGAAGTAAAAGTTAGATGCAACATTCAGATTAAACAACGTTTAAATTATGATCAGTAAATTTGAGTAAATATTTTATTCATTGCCTCAAAAGAATTTAGTCTGACTCAACAGCTTAGTGTGTACAGATGATGTCGAAGATGTACAAATTTTATTCGTTAATACGCATGAATTGTATCTCACACTTAAAATCGAGTTTTCACCTAATAATTTCATCACATAAAATCCATAAACTATTTCTCATAATACATAATTTTATTGAATTGAATGGATAAATCAAGTCCAAGTGAATCATTTAGTGAACGATTCAGCAGCCATGAATGCCAAGACTATTGGACGTGTGAACTACACGCGACAAAAATGCTGGTAAAATTTTAAATTTTTCACACTCGTAATGGGGGATTTGCCTCGTCATAGCAACTCACAATAATTTTCCATTAACAAAAGTCCCTCATTAACAATTAATGAATGATTTCCCTCACAGATTTTTCTCTAATTAAGCCTTAATCAGTAGGTAAGTACTGTAGAATATGTCAATGGATATGTGGGCATGAAAGATTAAAAAGAATTCACACGACTCACTGCAAGCGAGGTGGCGCTTCCATCTGAGGTCTGGGGTAGAGGCAGGTTGCCATACATGACCCAGCGGTAGAGCTTTGACGGGGAGCACGTCACCAGCGTGGACGACGTGTTGCCGTCCAACTGGAAGCCGGGTGTGCACTTGACCATACCCAGTGCCACTCTAGAGCAAAAACAGCATCAATAGTTGCCAGAAGCTGGTGAAAGAACGGCCAAATAAGCTCGCCAAAAATGCTAAGAACCACCTCAATTTAAAATGTTGCGGTAAAGGTGATAATAAAAAAAATTGTAATTCAATTTTTAAGATACAATTCAATTTTTTAGGGGGTTTGCCTTATAAAATCACATTAGGTTCAATGCCTGAATATTTTTTTGCTTGCCAGTCCGATTTTAAAAAGGCCATATCAGCAAATTAGGCCGGAATAATGGCCAATCTGGCCACGCTGTTGCAAAGTATCCGCACAGCGTTCGTGATCAATAGATGGAGGCCTCAAGGCAGCACTCATTAATCAAATAAAAGTACACCACGAGTTGCCATGATATGGTTGACCTCCAGCCACTGATTTGTTGGCTGAGAAATCTTTGAGCGCGGCTTTAGGCTATAAAAACAAGTATTAAGATATCTCAGCGTTGCATTTGAGACTGGAAATGCTTACCTGAAATGCAAAATGTTTAACTTTAGAACTGATAATGAAAATACATGTAGATAGGGCAATTCAATGTTTGTCATAATTGTTCACAAGCAGAATGTCAATAACTGAATGTTATTTTCCATGATAGAAAAATAACTGAACGTTAGACGTGTTTGCAGGTATAATGATCGGTTCTCTACACTTACTTGGGCACTAATTTTTGAAGGTATCATGATCGGTACTTTACACTAATTTGGGTATTATTTTCGCATGTATCATGATCGGTACTTTACACTTACTTGGGCACTATTTGATCGACAGGAGTTTGCACGGCAGTGAAGTTCATGTGCGGAATCAGATTCGGCAATTCAGGACAAGTATCTGAACAACGATGCATTTATGAGAAAAATAATCTTTCTAAATCATTAGCTAATTTCGCATAATAGCGCGCTTTCCCTTGAATATTAATTTTGCTAATCTCTATTATACACTTAGGTTAGATTTTGTAGAATGATACAGGGAAAATGGTGGAAACATTTTCTTAACGATTATAACTTAATCAGCGGTAATTGCTTGAGAAAACTGCAATATTTACAACTATTAATTCGTCCACGTCTCTCTCTTGTCTTAAGTACAAATTTCTCAAGGGTTGCACGAATTATTGTACAAATATCTATGTCTAAGCTAACAAATGAGATGCCACAAAGTAACTTGCATACTGGCACATAATTTTTCTTCAATCTCATAAGAGGAATTGAAATATATTGATGCCTCAGGTAACAAATGAGACGCCACCAAGTAACCTGAGTAATGGCACAGCGTCTTCCAGTCGTCGATGGTCAAAAGTCGTAGCTTCTCATCTTTGTCGGGTGTCACCCACGAGCCCGCTCTGCAGATGCCTTCAATTCTCATGTTGGGATCTTGGTGCTTGCATGTCAACGTAATTCGCTGCGCCGACCTGATACAGAGGTAAATACAGTCAACTATTATTTTAATAAAGCAATAGGGGTAAAGCAGCGCTGTATTATATTATATTTTTATTAATATATACTGATTTGATGCATTTAGAGTTGAAAAAAGCTCATAAAACATTAAAGGCTAACCCGTGATCTGAGGCTAACCAGAGGTAGAAGAAAGTTCGGTAAAATATTAAACTTAACCTGTAAATAGAGGTGCAAGAATATTAGCGGAACTACCTAGAAAGACATGAGATAAAATGCAGCTGCTAAAAAAATATTCATGAAACTACCAAAGATGATAAATTAGCTGATGAATAGGTAAAAAAAATCATTGAAGGCTGACTTGCAATCTGATGCAAAGAAATTATCTACCTATTTAACATACATAAGCTGAAACAACTTTCGGAGATACCACCATAACACAAGATGGTTTCAAAAAATTTCCCTTTATCTATTATTTAACACCGATCAATATGATGGTTTATTAATTATTAAGAGAATTTTCCCCTGAATTTTATTAATTTTTCAAGTCTTCCTATCTTGTATTGTATTGGAATATGAACCTATTCGACTCTCGTATTTATAAATTAGACGAGCAACGGCGGTAGCCTCATTGAAGAAGAACTTTGTAAACGACTTATCAGAAAAAAACGTTCTTTTTCCCATGTCGAAGAAATGAAGAACTAGTTATAATTAATTTTTGGGCTGAATAGCATTCAATTGCGACTTTTTATATTAATTTGGAGTTTTTTTATCGACATGGATGACGACTTTTAAGAATGAAACAATTCTAAATAACATAAAATGTTCATTTTTTGTTTTTTTTGAGTGTCAACATCCTGTTTACCAGTAATTATCCTCCTCAAAGTAACAATAAAACTGATAATAACTTCTTGTCACAGATGAGAAGTTAAAAAATATTTTTTTTTTGTGAAATAAACAATCGGAGAGAGGCCTACGAACATGCTCTGGAATCCAGAAGCAGGATTTTTACTTAATTAAGGGTCTGTATTTTTTCTTTCATAATTGAAAAGCGGTCGCAGTAACTCCCGTTTAAATTGCGACGATTAAAATTCGCTAATTGCTTTGGCCGTACGTGATCAGTGCCGTGCCGAGACGCCGAAAAACCTCACGAGAAAAGTTTGCCTTTCCTTCAGAGTATAATTCATAACTGGTTTGTGAGATGAACATTTTTATTGAAAAAGGTGTTGTGAGACTGATAACTATCTCAATAAGAAAAAGTATTATGAGACTTTGAAAAACTTCTTCTGAAAAATAGTGCTATCATATTTAGAAGACGACACATGACACTCCGCTCCATGATTATGTACGTTTTAGGGAATATAAAACTTCAGTTTTTGCTAAAAAATTTAAACCTACGTCTTTTATAGAGCAATAGAAGGTGAGCTCGGCATTTCCCGGACAAGATAATCCCGGAAATTTTAGAATGCATTTATAATGCATTTCGTCATTCCCGTTGTCCCTCATTCCGCTTATAATAAAACTGATGTGTGTTAATTAAAAAAATACCAGTTCAAACCTACATTTTACAAGAAACATAAAATACCGTGTGACTTGAATTTGACTCCCTCTTCAAAATATGAAATTATTATTTTGCTCTTTTCAAATAGAATTTATAAGTGCCATCTCAAAATATTCGGTCTAATCCCATCGCCGCAAGTTTTGCAATGCTTTATTAGTATCCAACTGAGGATAAATGTTCAGGCCCATAATATCCCGACACGATGAGTTTTGAGGGTACGTGCTCGAATAGCCTCAATATATTTTCGGTGCCAGGAATTAAACACACAAACAAACTTTGACAAATATCCACACGATTATATGAGCAGGAAAAAAATGTGGTGATCAAGCTTAAATAAATAAACTTAATTGGATCAACTTTTTAGTTCCAAGTCTATATATACTGTATATACATGCTTGGCGTTTACTAACCGTGTCAAGATCTGAACAAATTCTGGAGTGTTGAGTTCATCGCAAGGCTCTTGAGTGTCAGGCGCACAGCCCTCTTGAATCTGCGGCGGCAACGACCACTTGGAGTCGTAGCAGAAAATTGTGAGGTCAGTAAGTGCCACTGAAGAGGAAACAGAAAAGACGTCCGAGGGCAAGTGGTAGCCTGCGTCGCACTCCACTCGAGCACTCGACTGGTCCACGCTGAGAGCACCACGCACAAATATGAAAATTAAATAAAATTTCTTATAAATGCAAAAAAATACATGCTAATAAATTTTGGTGCCGCATTTGACGTGGAGGAATAAATATGTGCGGTGATTTATTCACCAACGCAATTTTTAATAGTTTTAAATCAATTTGATGCGCGTGAAAACACATTACAGAGAATTTCTAACTCATACATAATCGTATTAAGGAAAATAGTTTACCCATGAATAAAATAAGTTGAACTTCTGGAATATATGATACCCTACTAATTTGACACCCGTTTTCTCATGCCTATTCACTGTGTTATAGGTATGTGCCTTCAGTTTAATAGTGTATTAAATTAACTGTTTTCTAGAAAATTACCAAAGACCTGAATTTAAATGTGTACAAATATTAGGAATACAAAAAAGTAATCTATAAATAGTTATTCAGAAATAATATCATACCTTGGCATGACTTTAGCGTTGGAGAGCAGCGGTACTTCAAAGCACCGGCGGTTCTCGCACGCAACGCCGTAGAATTCGTCAGTGCAAACACAACGGCCGCTGTCGTCGCAGCGCCCGCCGTTCGTGCATTCTATCGTACACGCAGGCTCGCATATCACTTCAGACTCGAGGACTGAAGAATGTTTTAGTGTCCAGCTCCCACTTGTGCAAGCCAGGGGCGTCGTTCGACCGAGTGATGAGTTCTGAAAACGCGTCGCTGCCGGACACTCGAGGATGACATCTCGAGTCCTGAGACGAATACATTAATAATATTAGCTCTGGATATGAATGACGAGAAGTTTGCAGCTTTGATTCGGCTCTTATATTTAGCTCAACTAGATTTACGAAAAAATATGTTTGCTTAGAATTTCAACAATGGATTGAAATTGTGGTGCTATTTACGCTGTCCCGTATGCTGCAATGATTTTTTGGAATGCATCAATTAAGAAAAATCATACACAAACACTGACCTTTGCATCTAAATACCTGTAGAGATTATTACTTATTAGATTCCTTTATATATCAGATATATATCCCTATAATTTTTACTTAGAATTTGAGACATTAAAATTTACTTTGAGATCACTTTACTACTCAATTTATCAATTACGAATGCTGATAATATTAATACTCATCACACTTTAGTATCAAAAGGCAGTATTCGGCAAGCATGTACATAACATATATAACTTAGCTTATAGCTCTCACAATTTATCGAGCCTCGCTCTGACAGGCAGAGGCCAGCAGTCAGAATATTCCTGCAGTTCATCACCATCGTCCCCGCATGTCTCCCTGAGCTGCTGGTCCCTACACCGGCACACTCCAGGTGCCACGCAGGCGCCGGTGTCGCCGCAGTCGCACCGCGCAGCACAAAACTCCTCGGGACTCCATACGCCATCCCGACACTCCAGTGTCCGAGGACCGTCCACCAGGTCGTGTCCATCCGGGCAACCAATCACCTCGCCCGACGTGCTGCGGCACTTGAAGTGTTTTACACCATGCATTTTGTGCTGCAATATTGCATCACGCGGTCATTATGCAACTGAGAAATTTTTCATAACGCTCGCACTGTGCAACTGTGCGATCGATCATGTAGTAGTAGTGTAAAGGTACTATATTTCGTACAAAATTCATTATTCAACTTTACAATCTTTCATACTATAGTCATTATGCAACAGTACTTTCTTTCATACCTTAGTCATTATTCGACTGTGCGATCGTCCATGTTGTAGTCATTATGACACTGAACAATTTTTAATGACTTAGTCACTACGCTATTGTACATCTTCCATATTGTAGCCAATATGCCACTGTTCAATCACAAGTCATGCAATCGTTACGAAACAGTGATGCGTTTCGTAATAGTATGCCATGCACTCAAAACAACCGTGCACTCACGCACCACATCTGCAAAGGCTATAAACTAAAACAGTCTCTTATTCAGTCGTCATGAGTTAGCGTAATATTTTTTTCGTACAATCACGAAATAATAGTTCAATCTTGCATCATGCATTATTCAATTACTCTACAACAGTGACACTTTTCATCATTCAATTACTATAAGGTCATCATCATCATCCTTATTTGACTATAAGGTTTTGATAAAAACCCGTAATATAATGCTAATTGAATTTTGATCGTTAGAGCGTTGATAGAGAGCAAGTAATTGTGAAAAATATTTATTATTAAATAATTTAGTGTGAATTAATCATGAATACCTATCGAAAAAGGGAAGTCATGTGATCGGGCAAGGAACCGCATTTAAGTTAAACCGGCTTTCGAGTACGAAAATGTTGAATTTACTAGGCTCTCGTAGTCTTTAATTCTGTTTAGCTGTACACTTGCAAACGGTTCTTGTGTCATGATGCGATTTTAGTGAAAGATTCTTCAACGCAACGTTATTTAAAAATATTTTCGTATACTCAATTACATTTTTCTTTCTTGCATATATTGACGTCATTCAAAGCACTCGGACACGATTACTTGCAACCGAAAGATTTAGATTCTGATTTTAAATTTTCCCTTTTTAATATCCAGGATAAAACTATAAGCGTTAATACAAGAAAATAGAATTAAGGCACCAGATATTATTTCGATAAACATTATTTTCCTAAAACTACATGCTATCCGTTGCACGGCTAATCAACAGACAGGATCTGGTTGACTCACATGTTGTAATCAGGACCCAGGATCTGGTTGACTCACATGTTGTAATCAGGACACAGAATCTGGTCGACTCACATGTTGTAATATGGATCCAGGATCTGGTCGACTCACATGTTGTAATACGGACCCAGAATCTGGTTGACTCACATGTTGTAATATGGACCCAGAATCTGGTTGACTCACATGTTGTAATATGGACCCAGGATCTGGTTGACTCACATGTTGTAATCAGGACCCAGGATCTGGTTGACTCACATGTTGTAATATGGACCCAGAATCTGGTTGACTCACATGTTATAATCAGGATACAGGAGCGGGTCACAAAAATCGTCCGGTATTTGGCAGGCGTCCCCGTCCTCACAGAGCGGGGTGCAGGTGAGTTGCTGAGGTGTATGAGACCAGGAGAGATCGGACAGGCAGCTGAGTAACGCTTGCTGCTCACCCGACGGTAACTCGAAGCCTGGTGAGCACCCTNAATTTACGAAAAAATATGTTTGCTTAGAATTTCAACAATGGATTGAAATTATGGTGCTATTTACGCTGTCCCGTATGCTGCAATGATTTTTTGGAATGCATCAATTAAGAAAAATCATACACAAACACTGACCTTTGCACCTAAGTACCTGTAGAGATTATTACTTATTAGATTCCTTTATATATCAGATATATATCCCTATAATTTTTACTTGGAATTTGAGACATTAAAATTTACTTTGAGATCACTTTACTACTCAATTTATCAATCAATCACGAATGCTGTCAATATTAATACTCATAACACTTTAACATCAAAAGGCAGTATTCTTCAAGCATGTACACAACATATATAAAAATTTGCTTATAGCTCTCACAATTTATCGAGCCTCGCTCTGACAGGCAGAGGCCAGCAGTCAGAATATTCCTGCAGTTCATCACCATCGTCCCCGCATGTCTCCCTGAGCTGCTGGTCCCTACACCGGCACACTCCAGGTGCCACGCAGGCGCCGGTGTCGCCGCAGTCGCACCGCGCAGCACAAAACTCCTCGGGACTCCATACGCCATCCCGACACTCCAGAGTCCGAGGACCGTCCACCAGGTCGTGTCCATCCGGGCAACCAATCACCTCGCCCGACGTGCTGCGGCACTTGAAGTGTTTTACACCATGCATTTTGTGCTGCAATATTGCATCACGCGGTCATTATGCAACTGAGAAATTTTTCATAACGCTCGCACTGTGCAACTGTGCGATCGATCATGTAGTAGTAATAGTGTAAAGGTACTATATTTCATACATAATTCATTATTCAACTGTGCTATCTTTCATCCACATCTGCAAAGGCTAAAAACTAAAACGGTCTCATTCAGTCGCCATGCGTTAGCCGAATATTTTTTCGTACAATCACGAAAAAATAGTTCAATCGTGCATCATGCATTATTTAATTACTCTACAACAGTGAAACTTTTCATCATCCAGTAACTATAAAACAGTTCAATAATTTCTTCACCCAGTAATTAAACAGCCGTTAAATATTTGACTATAAAGTTCTGATGAGAGCCCATAATATAATGTTAATTGTATTTTGATCTTTAGAGCGTTGATAGAGAGTAAGTAATTGTGAAAATATTTATTATTGAGTAAATTAGTGTGAATTGATCATGAATACGTGTCTAATAAAGGAAATCTTGTGATCGGTGCACTGAACCGCATTTAAATTATACCGGCTTTCGAGTACGAAAATGTTGAATCGAAAAACGTCGAACGATGAAAATAAAACATTTTATTGAGACGAAGCAAACAGTTGATATTTTACTAAGCTCTCGTAGTCATTAATTCTGTTGAGCTGCACACTTGCAAACGATTCTTGTGCCTTGATGCGATTTAAGTGAGAGATTTCTCTACGCTACATTATTTGCAAATATTTTAGTATACTCAATTGCAATTTTCTTTTTTGCATATGTTGACGCCATTCAAAGCACTCTAACACAATTATTTGCAACCGGAAGATTTAGGATTCTGATAATAAATTTTACCTTTGTACTAGTAATCCAGGATAAAACTATAAACGTTAATACAAGAAAATATAATTAGGACAACAGATATTATTTCGACAAACATTATTTTCCTAGAAACTTCATGCCATCCGTTGCACAGCTAATCAAGCAGCAGACAGGTCGACTCACATGTTGTAATCAGGACACAGGATCTGGTCGACTCACATGTTATAATATGGACCCAGGATCTGGTCGACTCACACGTTATAATCAGGATACAGGATCTGGTTGACTCACATGTTGTAATCAGGACACAGGATCTGGTCGACTCACATGTTGTAATCAGGACACAGGATCTGGTTGACTCACATGTTGTAATCAGGACCCAGGATCTGGTTGACTCACATGTTGTAATCAGGACCCAGGATCTGGTTGACTCACATGTTGTAATCAGGACACAGGATCTGGTTGACTCACATGTTGTAATATGGACCCAGGATCTGGTTGACTCACATGTTGTAATCAGGACCCAGGATCTGGTTGACTCACATGTTGTAATATGGACCCAGGATCTGGTTGACCCACATGTTGTAATATGGACCCAGGATCTGGTTGACTCACATGTTGTAATACGGACCCAGAATCTGGTTGACTCACATGTTGTAATATGGACCCAGAATCTGGTTGACTCACATGTTATAATCAGGATACAGGATCTGGTTGACTCACATGTTGTAATCAGGATACAGGAGCGGGTCACAAAAATCGTCCGGTATTTGACAGGCGTCCTCGTCCTCACAGAGCGGGGTGCAGGTGAGTTGCTGAGGTGTATGAGACCAGGAGAGATCGGACAGGCAGCTGAGTAACGCTTGCTGCTCACCCGACGGTAACTCGAAGCCTGGTGAGCACTCTGCCACCAAGGCTGCACCTCTGAGGAAGGTCAGGGTCTATACTTTCAAAAAATGTCATGAGATCGTAAGTTCATCAGCCAATCATTGACGGCCTTTCAAGGAAAATCCACAAATTAGACAAGAAAATAGAGCGTAAGTACTTACGTTCACTTAGTGAGTTTGAAAGTATGGGCTCAGGAATTTATTCAGCTTGAGGTATCTAAATTTATAAGTGAATTTCGATTACTTAGGCATAATTTATCTATGAATTCACAGTGTGCATAACTAATTAACTGAAATTATACTCACTAACTTTTCAGTTCTAAATCATTATAATATATCATAAACCGAATATAATTACAATATAATTACTAACATCCAGTGCGTGTAGTAAGCGTTGCTAAGAACTGGTAGCGTGTTGTTCCCACAAGTTGTCGGTCCTGTAGAGAAATAACCAAAAATATCAATAAATTCAAAAGTCCGATCAATAAACAAATTTATTTACCTCCCATTATCGCTCGCTGTGACATATTAGATGCCTGCATGTGATCTTCATGTTAATAATATTAAATGGTCTACCTTAACATTAATTTATCATATAATATAAGATAATTAAATAATATTAATTAATTAATTATTCAATATTAACGGTCTACCTACCAACATATTAGATACATGCATGTGACCTTCATATTAATTAATATTAAATGGTCTACTTAACATTTTCGTCGTGAAATATTTTCGTCGGGTACAGACCTGCCTGTTCATCGGCTTCTGCAGCCCTGACCGAGGTTTTCAACTGTGTACCGCACAGCAGACTGAAATACGTACAAATGTCCACAGAGAAAATGTTATAGAACATAATTTATATTCAAAGTATTCAATAAAAAAATTTTAATGAAACTATAGTCTTCGTTTGTTAAATCCACTTTGACTAAATATAAAGTAAAATAAGTATTTTCGGGTATAAATGGAAATTGAAGACTCTGCATAGCAGCTACTATGTAATGGACACTGATGTTCGAGGCCAGCTTGGTATGTGTTTACCATGTGCTTAAAAACAAGGTAGTCGAGCAGCTGAAATATCAATTCCTGTATTCCTAGAGCGACATGAAGTTGCATGTCTTCGGATTTGTCTTTGCTCATCGTTAGAAATTTTCAGTGAGAAGCGAAGGAAATCATAAAAATTCCTCTATTTTTAATAAAAATTTTCCGGACATCAGCTCAATGCTCAGTTTTAAATTCATTAATGTAAATAATGTAAATCAGACGATTTAATTCTCACTGATGGGTTTGAAATCCAGATGATCATATAAGAGACGAAGCATCGTAACACACTATTTATTACCGATCCCAAGGGGATAGGAGTAATTAGCCCAGTATGGACAAGGCTTCCGTTTGAAAGTTTACGAAGTTTTTAAAATCCTGAGCCCCGAAGCACCGGAGGTAGAAGCAAAAATTTAAAAATCGCTTTAGAGCGTCGGCGGATTGCATTGATTGTTGAGTTACTTCATCTCTTATATATACCTCTGGTTTTAAATATCTTTTGCTTAATTTTCTTGTATTTTTTAGTTGCTTTGAAATTTTTGGGAAATTTATAATGTAAGTATTAAGTTACATTAATATTTCTTTTTTATGTATTGCACTCATACCTGAAGCTTGCAAAAAGAACGATGAACGCACGTGATGTCATCGTGACTCAAAAACTTGATGAAAAGAATTTTCGTCCAAGGTTTATTTCATCTTTTCTAGCTGACACAATACAAGGAAAATACTTTTGAATAATTGGAAAATTTCATTCGCTGCCCACTTTGGAACCTGCACAAAATTCAATTGTTTATGAAAGCTGTAAGTGGTTAATATAATAGATGGGTGCATTATCATATTAATTAGGCATCTTTAACTTTGAGTTTAAAACAAAATAAAATCACTGCGCGTGTGCGTTTAGCGCGTGAACATAAAAAGCTGTGTGATGGGTATAAGTCGTTCTACGTTACAGGATTTTGAATGATAATGCGGATTATTTCTTAGAAACTATGAACTATAAGTAACGAAACTATAGACTATAAAGTAACGATGAAAAAAAATTTACATTAACAATTTTCAGATATTAAAATCTAGAAACGGCCTGCCACTCATATGATCAACAGGAACTGCCTGTCACGTATAGGATCAACAGGAACTGCCTGTCACGTAAAGGATCAACAGGAACTACCTGTCACGTATCTAGTTAAGCCCGAATAGACTCGACAACAGAACACGACCAACTTGACCGCGCGACGGTTGCTGTGTAGTGTGGTAACATCCTCGCCGACGTCGGCATCTCTCTCGAGTTTATTAACAAAGGCAACTGCTGCTGTCAACAGCTTATTAACGAGCTGGCATGTCGGCACAACAGCGCTGTTCTCGGACGAGTTGATCAACTCCAGGCACTTGCACAACTCCTTGCCTCCAAGTTTATGCTGAACTAATACCTGAGAAAATCCCACAGTTTGAGCTATTTACGAGCACATTAAATTGATTACGGACTTTTTTCATAGAATCAGTATTATTGCTTAACAGTGAAGACGTACACGGAATAAAAAAATTATCATTAGCAATTGACACGAGCGTTATTGTCTGAGCTCCATGACGGCACGTACATATAAAATTGAGCTCTGTGTGCAAGGACGAAGTCTAGTGTAGACTAACTCGTGGCTATGCTATTCCTACCAGTGTCGTTATGTAATAGGTAAGCTGAAGTGGAAAGCGTCATTTTGTAAGATTAATTTTCGCGTGAAAGAATGACATGGTGTATTGTGCAAACTTTGTTCAATATGTTATTGCAGTTTTGAAAATAATGAAAAATTTTATACCCATGAGTGAAATATTGCTTTGCGTCAGCAACTGCCAACAAATTACATTATAGTTCTATTAATTAAATTACAGTTAAGTTCTATGAATAAAATACGCCCTTTAGATAAAATACCAATGACTACGTTCAAAAACAATAAATAAACCCATATTTCACTTTATTTCAGTAGCATCATTGCGTGATTTTAGCCCTAGGCTTATTGGATATTTTCAAAAATTGAAGACATTCCCTTATTAATTTAGAAAATAATTTTATAGAGAACGCCTTCAAAATCCATCGTGATTGTGAACCTATTAATTAATGCAAAAATTAACAACTCTTTCACTGAATTCTATCAACTCGTGAAAAGAATCCACTGATATCACTAAGTCGTCGGTCAACAAGACCATTTTATAATCGAAGAAAATTGATTTGAAAGCCTTCTAGCCGGGAAGCAATCAATTGCAGTTTTTCGTGCACCACAAGATTGGACAAGCATTTTTCTTGGGCAATCCAACACGGGATTGAAACTTTTTGGTCCCGACGTGCGCATCGATTGGACTGAAGCGAGCAGCGCTTTATCCATGCCACTGCAGGTCCACGCATGCCTATGGGTATTCGAAAGCAGTTCGAAACTACAGATTTTTCGGCCTAAAGTTTTAGATATTACTTAAAAATTTGATCACAGTCATTTCCACAGAATATAGAAAGGTGTTGGGTAATAATTTCTTGACGCATGTGTCCGTAATCTCTAAAGTTTTAGATATAACTTAAAAAATTGGATCACAGTCATTTCCACAGAATATACAAAGGTGTCGGGTGATAATTTCTTGATACTTGTATGATACATTATGCATCACAATTAATATGATCGCTTTTATTGAACTGAATAGCTGATACTCGTAAAAACTTTTGAGTCTATATCTGCTTTCCTGATCGGCGTATATGACATCAAAAACATCAATAGAAGCCAGTCAAAATGATCGAATAACCGTATAACATTTAATAATAAAATTATGAAAAAACGTTTAGTAGATATAAACCATGAAACATCAAAGTATATTTCAAACTAAAAAAATTTCAAGCAATGGATTTTACATGAAATAATGTTTTAGGGCCTTAGAACTAATATGTTGAAAATTATTAGTGATAAAAATGCTATTCTGAATGTCAGATGTGTTATTATAAGGATTGAACCTTCTTCGTTTCATTAGAGCAAAGAATGGTCGAGGTTTGTGCGGAAAATATATATATATGACGTCGAATGGAGAAAAGTTACTCGTTTGTATCTAAAATAACACACAAACTGGAAATAATCACGCAATCATATCACACAAATGAAGATTTACCACAAAATTATTTAACACAAATAGAAATTTATATCTCAACTATGACAAAAAAATGCAGATTTATCACTCGCATGAAGATTTACTACACGCAAATTCCATGCAATGATTAATTTAAGCATTGCAGCTGAGGCTAAAGTGAGACATTTGAAGACAGATCATCTAATAGATAGAAAAAAGGCTCACTAAAAATGGTGGCATTGAAGAAAGAATCTACTACAAAAAAAAAAAGAAAAAAAAAAACAGAGCTCTCGAAGACATGAAATTATATATCTTAAAAGAAACTATCGCTAAACAAAAATTTCATTCAAATTTTGGCTAATAAAACTGTAGATTCTCAGCACCGCATTGACTGTACCGTAGAGAAGCAGCGGTCATGCTTAACTGCAGGCTCTCATGCTCTATAAATCACGGCCATTTGCTCATAATAAGCGCAGTAAATTCATTTGGTTCACGAGTCTACTTCTGGCGGCTAAGTATGGAAATAGGATAGTGTTTTGGCACCACCTAAACCAAAATTCTTCATAATTTTTTATTGTTTTGACTATGAATGTGACTTTTACTGACATTTATGGAAATTGTTTATCAAATGTGCTATGACTTGAGAGCGGTGACGTTATCACATTATGTATATAGAATAGGGCTTGTCGTTTGTGAATGTTTTTCGGAATGGAGACTCGCTTTTTAGCGCATTTTCTCATTTATGGAAAAAATGCACTATTGTGCTCGCCATGTCCGTCTGTCTGTCTGTCCGTCCGTCCGTCCGTCCGTCTGTCCGTGACCTCAAGTTTTCGTCGATGAGAAAATACGCTCTCTGTCACTCACTGCAGTGAGTACTGAATTATATTTCTTTATAGTTTCAGAATTCAGACAACAAATGAATGGACAATTGGGAAGAAATTCGGAATTTTATTCTAAATTATAAACAATATCGCTCAATTTAATAACCAAGCTTATAGAGATAAACAAATGATCACGTTTAAATTACTGTGCAATCTAGGGCGCGTTCTGGTTACTGTCTTCTTCTATCTGCTTTCTCTGGTTACTGTGTATATATGGCCTAGGCTCTGCAGTTCCAGTCCTACCCAGAGGGTCTAAATCGTATGTACACGAGAGAAGCATTCTTTAAATAAAATTGTTTTTACCTTTTAAAGAAATTAAAAATATATTTCCTTTCTAAATTAAGTCGAATTGCCAGCAGTTCTATTTCCAGAAAGTAACTTGCGAACATGGTGGCCTAAGCGATTACTATAACAGTTATTGAGATATTGACCAACATGATACCCAACACTGATATCCACTGGTAGATAAAATTAACAATATTCTTCATTTCCTCTTGAATGAACAATTCAAAATTTCCGTGCGACATTCGGTACTCTGCATGATCCGAAATAAAACAAAAACGTACAAATCTGAACACTTTAAATATACGGACGTTTTAATATACGGACGTACATATCATTGAACTTATAATCAATAGAATGAAATTAAAACAATTAAAAGCTAATGATTGGGTGTTTTCTTAAACTCATGTTTATTTGAGATAGCCCTGCAGAGCAGCGAAAAACCTTTTATGCTCGGAAATGCATGCATGCTTGCAAATATTTACGGAATTATCTCGTGGCAACATCACGAATTTATTTGGTGCCATGCCAGGCAGCATTTGCACTGCGGAATAATATGCAGATGCCTTACATGTGGCATTGACCGAAATCCTTAATCTGTGTGGCAATGACTGCATCTGTTAATGTGTCCACATGACGATAATAAGTAAAATGCCATGGAAAATACGTTCAGATATGAAAATAGATAATGCTGCTTATATCATCTTTATGCTTACTTTTCCAGATATTTTCATTTGATTTTTTAAACATTATGTCCACATTTTATTCGTCGTTTGAGGTCAAGAGGTTCAACGGAATAAAAAGTTATAAACCACAACATGAATTAAAAATTTTACCATTACTTCTAATGTAATGTCAGAATAAAAACATTTTTATAATGCTTTTTCCATAAAAAATTAGTTTAAGTTTGTTTTAATGTGTAGAGTAGCACTCTAAATACTAATTGAATGAGTAAGATGAATTAAATCGAATGTTGTAGTTCAACGCTAGCACGTTTTCCGAATTAAATTTTAAGGAATATAAACTGAAATTTCGAGAAAAATAAACTTTCATCGAATAAACACTTTTCTTCAAATGCCCCAGAAAATCAGCTCACTGAAAAGCCTGCTAATGCTTGCAAGGCAAAAACTTAACGCACTTGTTCTGGTTCCGCTACTTTAAATTCAGATCCTCACAAAATTATTTTACTTTCTCTGAAGAAAATCTTTTGAACTTCTTAAGTCAACTCGTAGAAGTTGACTAAAGAATCAGGCTTGGCAGATCGCAAAGCTATTCTAAAAAAGTCTATCTCAGTTCATAATCTTCAGTGCTGATGGAAATGGAGCTTTTATGATGGAAAACTCGTTCTGCTCGACGATTATTCGGGATGGAAAAGCCGTTTGAATCTTTTTGTTCTCAGCCTCAAAAAACGAGAACACCGACTAAGTTTTTGCATAAATTAGGTCGAGTGTCTTGAATCGACGACAGTCGCGTTTTTCTTATATTCCCTCAGTTACTCATATGGTTCTTTGGACTTC